TTCACAGACACTGACCTGTATTATACTTTCCATCTTTGAACGCCTCCTGTGCCGTGAGTGGCATATAGGCGGTGCCCACGAGGGGACCCACAGTTAGCTGAGTGTATGCGTGGATCTCATTCGCGTCGACCTTTCGCAGGCACTCTAACCACGTCTTATCGTCCGTACACTTGAAATGTTTGCCCATTTCCTTGGCCTCCGCTAATGCCTGGGCCTTAGTATGAGTTTCCTTCCGGTTGTGGAGCTGAGCGCCAGACTCTAGTATAGCCCTCGCGAACAGCCCTTTCGCCAGTGGAGATAATACCAGAGCCGATACTGAGATACTACCGGCGCTCTCACCGAATATCGTTATCTTATCCTTATCTCCACCGAACAGATGGATGTTTTCTCGCACCTGTAGTCCATATTATTATCATAAATCGTAACATTTAGAAAACAAGTGTTTTGTTTAGTAACTAGTACAGTTTTTAATATATTATAAGTATAAATGATACTGAAATTTCTCTTAAAGATACCTTCAAAACTGATCCTGATCACTATTAACTTTAAATTAAATTTGTTTAATTATATTGTTTACCCATATATTCACATTCATATAGATTAATTTTTATAATTGGATAATTTTTATAAACATTTATTTCTGTTGATTATTATGTAATCCCCCTCATCTATAATACTTCAAATATCTGTATTTCAGATAATATAATAGGTTTGCAATACATACCCATTTTAACCCCTCGAGTTGATCCAAAAGGCCCAGATTTCCGGGGGTCTCTTCATCATCGCCACCGTATAAGAAGCCCAATGAGCCCAACCTGTAATCCACGGCCACATACACGACATCATAGGAGGCCAACGACTTGCCGTTATACATGTCCGAGAATATAGAGCCCCCTCTAAAACCCCCGCCATATATCCAAAACATAACAGGTTTTAAAGTTGTGATGTTATTGGGCGCCCATATGTTGACGTATAGACAGTTTTCAGAGGTGGGCTGATCCCCACCCAAACAGGAGGTCTTCTTTTTGGTCGCATCGATGATATCCTAAAAATATTTTTTGTTAATTAAACAAAATTATTTAATTTTTTTACAGTTTATGTTTCAATAAATTACTTACGGGCGAAGGCTTTGTAATAGGCTTTGGTTTGGCAAACCTCAGGGCACCGACCGGTGGCTCAGCGAACGGAATGCCGTAAAATTGATTAAGTTCCTTACCAAGCTCAGTTATAGTCTGTCCCCTAACAGTACCGGAGCTGGTCTTGACGTCCACCGTCTCGGCGCC